TTCATGTTGAACGGATTTGTTCCTGAGCACTTGAATTTGAAAATTTCTTCATTGGTGTATTTTTAAAAAAATAATAGCAAACATCCTATACTGTTGGCCCAAAGATACTCAAAAAAAGAAACTACGGAGAGAGTGAAGTTTTACAGTTAATTTCCTGTATCTCTGGATGCTGCACGTCAGAAATACACAGCTAGGTCCTTCAGCATTAATTAGTATCACATTATAACTAGTCTCAGTATTTTTCAAATGAGCATCAGAAGTTTCACAATCTATTTAATATACTGCATTCCAAATATCTGTTTACTCAGTTGTTACAAATTGCCAATGGGACAGAAACTGTCTGTCACTTCTAGAGCAATTAGTGTGTGAAAACTTATCAAAAGAAATCTGTCAAGTTTGAGTAAGTATAAATATTACATGGCAGTCTCTGAGGAAATCAAACTGAGTGGGATACATTTTTTTGTTCATTGCAGCACATGAGAATTTATTTTGTTGTATTTATTTGGCTTATTTTTCAGAATGTTGATAGCATTTCACATAACTCAATGGATTAATGTTTTGCTCTGATAAAAATAGATTTGAGTTCTTAGGGGAAATCTCTATTGACTGTTGAGAAGTGTAACAATACTGCTCTTTACTTTCAAATGTCGAGAGCTCTCCATTCCTTGAAAAGCACTGGAATGTGAGCTTAGTCAGAAATATTGGGTCATTGTCTGCTCTGTCACTTTCTGATGCTCCAACCCGACCTCTTCTAGACCTCAGAATTTTCATATTTTCAAATGAAGAACAAGGACCAGCGATATGTTGCTACCTCTGTAGCTTTACATTTTTACCTGCTCGACCATTGTGTCACTATTGTATTATATTCCTCCCACTGCCTCTTAAATGCCTTGGACATATACAGAGCTAAAAACACAATATTCCAGATGATGACTTTGGCTCTGAAGAAAACTAAGTTAATATCTTGGTTAGAGAGTTCTCCTGCTGGGGGATTCAGCATTTTATACAACATGAATTTACCAGCTTTATCAGCTGAGATTTTTTTTGCCAATCTTTGCCCTTTGGGACTGAACAATATGTGCAAGAGTCAGATGTTGAGGTGATGATGTTAGTTAGATCCTTAGCACAATCTCTGTAACACACCTTTTCACAGCTCTGGCTTGTCCCTTCTTCACAGTATGAAAACTTCTTAGGGTATTATACTGTTACTATAATTTGGAAATATTATTCCAACTTTAATTGAGCGTATTGTTGTTTTGTTTCTTTTATTCTTTCATTTTCATGGGATTCAATTTGAAAATGAATTCATCCCTGTGATGTGTATTCACATCTTCTATTAGAGTTCATATAAATCTTTAGTAAAGCCAGAGGAAAAGATTGGTTCTAGAAGAGACTAGGCAATTTGTCCACCTAAATTACACAGGACAGCTTGACCAAGTATTATTACTCAATGGCTTGATCCCCGGAGGCTACAATAACTGACCGGGCACCTCGAGGCCGCCCTGCAAATTGTTTTATGAGGACCTGAGTATGACTTAACTCATCCATGACTTTACCTTTCATTTCTGATTACCACTCCAATTGCTCCATGGATTTGATTTTTATTTCTGTTTTGTAATTTTTAAAAATCTGGGACATAGAAAAACATAAAGATTGTACATATTAATGAAATAACATGATGCCTCAATACATACATGCATTATGTAGTGTTTGAATCAGGTTAACTGTATTTATCTAGTCAAACATTTAACTTCTTTGTGATAAAATCTTTCAAACTCCTTATCTCTAGCCTTGTAAAAAGTACAGTTCATTAATTGCCTCATTTTGCTGTTTTCTACTGTTCTGTCCAATGTTAATAATGTTCCTAAAAACTAAATAATAATTTAAAATGTCTTTGTATTATCTGTAAAGTTTTTGAAGTAATTTTATTAGTTCAAGGTTTTCAACTAGGATTTATGAGCTACCGAGGACTGCTTTAGAAAAGCATTATGCATGTGTATGTGTGTGTGTGTCATGGGAGGGAATGGGATAGGTGCCTGATCAAATATTTCTGAGTGATTCAGTGCTCTAAAGAATTTCAAGGACAGTAGCATGTTAAAATTCTTTGCCAGTCCTGAAAAGAAAAAATTTTAAAATCTATGTAACTCTGTGTAAGCCAGTGCTTCTCAAAGATCATATAACCCTCTGGAGTTGGAGGAAGTTGGGGTAGTCACACACAGTTACTACTCAAGGGCTATGATTTAGGAAATACTGCAGTGTGTGCTTAGAGTTATTTGTATCTCCCACTCAAACACCAAGTCGCTGAAATCACAAAAACAGTGAAATCAACAGAATTTACTTATTTTATAAGTAGATCAAAGAGCACATTGAATGTGGCTTTCAAATTTTTTACTTTCATGATGATTACACGGGAAGTTCAACAGTGGTGTTATGGTTCATACATTGTGTCAACTTGGGGAGTCTAGAGGTTTGGCTAAGGGACTCAGCAGGAAGCCAGGGTGCTTACTTTGTATACATCCTGAGCCTATGGAAGAGGAGGGCATGGAGATTATGTGAGAGCTACATGCCCCTTAGGTGGGGTAGCCTGTTTACAATGTAAGGCAGAGAAAGAAGCTGCTTGGGGCTATTACTCCCTTTTGCTCTGGCTGCATTGCTGTTCGGCTGCCATTACCCCTTTGCTCTTGTTGCTTTGCTGTCTTCTGCCTCGGAGCCAACCAAGTATGGACTGAAACCTCCACAAACTGTGAGCCAAATAAACCTTTCCTTCCTTCATTTTGGGCATTGGGTATTTTGTCTCAGCAATGAGAGAAAAGTAACCAAGACAAGTGGTAATAACTAATATAACATTATAGCCCTTTTGATATTTCAGAGTGATTTCCCATATGTAGATTTTCACTATATGCCTGCATCACATTTAAAATGATCACCATTCTATATACTAGGAAGTTGAAAGCAAGGGTTTAAAGGGCTTCCCTTATGTAGCATAGGTTTGAACTTTGGTCTTCTGATCTTCTACATGTTTTGCTTCTAGTTAGAAAAATAAGGAAAAAAAAAAGTTGGTTTTTTTTTCCTGGAATATTCACTTTCTAGTTGCTAAACAAGGCTTCTAACATAGAATCCAGAAATCCTCACAGCTACTAGTAGTCACTGCAACAGTTTTGAAAAATATCTTCAGGGAAAAAAATGAACAGTTTTGTGTATTTGATTACAACTCTCCGTGGAGAGGTGTGGGTTGAGTAATATTGTGCTGGTAAATTACTTTCTAACTTCTACCTTGTGACTTTAGAGATGCTAATTTACACTTAAAACTCTCTGATAGCTAATTAGGGGAAAGCAAGGTTCTCTTCATTGTTCATATGAGAAAACTAAGGTTCTGAGAGATTACTAGGTTTGCCTGAAACCCACATACCAATTTAAGCCCGGAAGGAGTGCATTGTCTGTTGTTTGCTAAAATCTCTCGTTCCTGTGGAATGAACGATATGCTCAATTATGCTTCTTCATGACCTGTTATAGGAGCTTTCCATTCCCAGATTCGAGAGTCTTGAGGAAGTAACGGGCTTGCTGGCAAGCACTTGTTTATTTATACTGAATCGACTCTTGACACCAGCATGGAGTTACTTCTAATTATATGCACATGCATAAATACAACGATGAACTATCCTCATATAAACATAATTATATGTCTCCAAAACGATGCACGGAAAATGTGATAATACAGAAATAAAGGGAAAGCAATCTGCATGACTCCTTCTTTGTATACAAACAACAGATTATTAAGGCAAAACCTGTTTCCTGTTACACATTAAATTGTTGAGGTCCATCATAGTTGGGATCCATTGAAAGATTAAACAGCAAACATGCATGTTATAGTAATTAGGGTTCTCTCTAGAAAACTCACATGGCCTTTCTGCTATTTTCCAACGACCAAGGACACTTCCTGCGTTCAGCGTTTAACCAGGATCACATTAAAGAGCAGCATGTAATAACTCAGCCCACTAGTTCTGAAACCAGAGGCTCCCTTTGCGTCTGACTGCTCCTTCTCCTTTTTTTAGCAAAGTAATTTTTGAAGATAAAACACTGGCTCATTAGGGCCATTTACTGGAATGTCACTTTTCAGCTTTGGAATGATCTGGAGTTCACATGATAGAGGAATCAATGATTTTACAGTGCTAAAGTTTGATTTCCTTGGGACAGGGAAGTTTGCTTTAACCATTTCATATTCCCTGTCATATGTATATAATAACTTTTTACTGAGTTTTAAAATATTGGTTAATATTTGTGGGTTCCATCAACCAGTCATTGGAGGCATATTTAAGAGTATTTGCCACAGTGTTAAATTACCTGTCGCTGAACTGATGGAAAAATACTCAAGCTCACAAATTAAGAAGACAATCAAATTTAGGTTGACACTGGAAGACACTGGGAAACCCTGTCCTGAGACTCAGGAATTACTGTGTCTCTGGATAGGTGTTTATTCCCGTGGGCCAGAGTTGCTCAGTTAATGGACAGCTATCAAATGCATCAGAAACCACAAAGTACTCTGCAGGTCTGTGGCATTACACTGCGTTAGAATGACTATGTGTGAAATGAAAGAAGTGGTCTAGATAATTTCCAGAGTGGCTTCCAGCATTGCTGTATCAAGATTATAGACTCCCTGGGTCTATCATTTTAGTATTAGTTTAGCATGTGTTATATAACGCTTGACACATGCTTAGCAAACTGTAAATGCTTGGTGCTTTATTTTAAAGAAGTTGGACTTCTCTTAACCAATTGTTAATGTATCTTTTCATTCTCTAGAGATAAAACTTTATTGACTGACAGTAGGATTCTGTAGTAAAATGTTATAGAGCACTGTGATTACTTCCTATTTATATTTTACAGGCTGAAAAGGGATCATTGAATGGCAGTGTGAATTCCTAAATTGACCATTTCTTTTTCGAACGAAGTAGAATTCCATTACCAAAAAATGGATTTACACTGACTATTCCTTTTACTTGCAGAGTTGAGCTATGCCTGGATCTTCAATGAATACCCTTCCTATCAGGATAATCGCCGCTTTGTTTCTCAAGAGACTGGAAATCTATACATTGCCAAAGTAGAAAAATCTGATGTTGGGAACTATACTTGTGTGGTTACGAATACTGTGACAAATCACAAGGTCCTGGGGCCGCCTACACCACTCATACTGAGAAATGATGGTAAGTAATTTTTAAGTTCTGTTTTTGCCATCACAAGCTCAGAATGGAAAGATACGTTGTTGGTACACAAAGGTTTAAAGTTTAATGGTTTCTATATTTGGAATCCATACTTTTTCCACTTGTGTAAGAAATAAACCCATGAATTCATTTTGAAAATCTAATTAGAAATCTAATTGCTAATCTCAACAGGAATGGAATATAGATTTAGGTGAATATAAATAACAAAGGAATCTATTTCTTGTTTCTCTCCCACTTAAATTGTATACACAGGCAGAATGAACTGAAAGATTGAACAATTAGCTCATTAATCAATACTATGTAATTTAGTATTCAGTGTCCAGAAAGAAGTTTTAAATTATCCAAATAACCTCCAGATTTGCAGTACTAGAGGCATAGTTCACATCACAGTAAAATGCAAGATAACAAGCCTCATTAGACACAGAAGTTCTAATTCCTCACCCTATTATGAAACTATTTCAAGAAAATATATTAATTTTACATTAATTACCTAAATGACCTAATAGTGAATGGTGAATGACCATGTACTTTTTAGGACAGTCTGGTATGCCAAACTCCAGAAGTACTCTTCCTTTTTACACGATTTTTTTTTTTTTTTAATATATACTATTCCCTCTTTCTGAGATGCGCTTCCTTCCCTTAGTCCCAAGCTCTCACTGGGATAAATGATATGTAATGGCTCTGAGTTTTGTTTATTTTCTTCAAATATATCATCTTTTCCAAGAAGTTGTCTCTGCCAATCCAGGTGTTTCCTACCCATGCAATGTCAGATCATTTCTCTATAAACTCCATTGTGGCCCACAACCATACCCCTAAGGACTCTGTATTTTGTGTCACCATTGCCAGTGTGCTTTGCTGCCTATGCTAGTGGTGGCAAAGCTTTTAGAGCTTTAGTGATAACAAATATCCCACTGTGGCGTGCATGTGTAGTATCTCATTTGTCTGCTGTGCATTCAGCACCAGGTAAATGGAAGTGTTTTACTAAATACCTGTTGAAAGGATGAAAACAAAGACATAAGAAAGCTTTTCGTCAAGGACTGATAAAATGATGTAAGGCCTCATAGTTGATGTGTTTAGGTTTCTATCCTTTTTAAGTCTCTTTCCCTTTTAGTGTATATTTGAACCTTCCATTATGAATAGGAATGACCAAACCCAACATGCAGGGAGGAGACTATTAGTCAAGAATATTAAGAGCAAACATACATTAGGCACTTACTATGTGCTGGGCACCGTGCCCAGCACATCACATGAAGCATCTTATTCAAAAATTAAGCAATTGTAGAAGGAATATCTTATTTTACAGAGAACAGGGCTCAGATATGTTAAATAATGGATCCCTAAAACCACATAGTTAAAAATAATGCCTCAGAAAACAAATGCCTCCAGGATTTCCACCCAGTACCCATATCTTACTGACCTCACAGCCTGGTATCCTAAACCCTGTGTTCCTTTTCATTATACTGTACCGCCTCATACCTCAACTTATGCCAGAAAAACTTGAAGGATTCAAGATCGGAAGCCACATTTCTAGTGTGTTACTCTTTCCCCCTATATTTCAAAGAAGTTTGTGTTCAAGAAGAACCTAAACCTGAGCTTTCTAGCACAGGGCATTGATAATAATAAAAAAAAAAATTCTGAAGAGAGGATCAGACATCCTACAATATAGATTGTTATTATTATTATTTATTAAGATAAAATCAGATTATTTCATAGACCAATAAATAAACCAGTATGAAAAAGGAGAGGGTGTGAGGAGTGGGTGTCTACTTTTGAAAGAACTGTCAGGGGAAACTTTTCTGGAGCAGCATACAGGGCCAGAGACCTGCATAATACGGGCTCCTAGGAGCATCAGAGAGAGGAGCAGTCCGGGCTGAGTCAACACTACATGCAAAAGCCCTGAGACGGTTAAAAAACTAGCCCTTGGCGTGTTCTTGGGAAAAGGACCGGGAGCATGGTGAGAGCACAGTGAGCGGCGTAGAGGTGGTTTCAGCGGAGGCTGGAAAGGAGCAAGGGCCAGACTTTGACGCCATGGAGAGAAGACTGGATTTTATTTCTAGTGCAGGAAGAAGCCCTTAGGGTATTGCAGGCCAGAAAATGATGCTTTTAAACATTAAGTATCGTGTGGAAAAGAAACTTTCCAAAGCAAGAGTGGAAACTGGGAGTCCAATTAGAACACTTGCCAAAATTCATTTGGGAAATTGCGGTGGCTTTAGCTAGAGAAAACAGTGAAGAAATAGAGAATGAACTCAAGGTATAGTTTGCAGGTAAAGCTGCTAAAACTTGCTGAGGCGTTGGAAATGGGAGAAGATAGAGGAGAAAATCAAGGATGACACATAGGTGTCTGGCATAGCCTTTGAGGGTCTAAGAATGTCATTTACTGCAATGATTTTGCTGATCAGATTTACAAAGTAAAGTTGGGAATATTATTTTAGACATTATTTGTACAACCAAAACATCACTTCTCCCTTAACAATAGGAGCAATCATTTGTTTTCTGATTTGCTTGGTGCATTTTTCTATCACAACATTCCTCTACTATATCCTCATTTCTAGCCTGCTGGCTTTCTCCACCACACTCACATTAGGACCAAGCAGAGATGATAGTTTTCATTCAATTTTGTACCAGGCCCCAGCATCCTGTTTGCTACATGGAAGAAGTTCAATCAATAGGCTGGATTAAGATGCACTATGATAAATAAAACTGAGCAGGTATCAGTTTAGAGAAAGGTAGGCAAGCTACCAGTTCTGTCAAAAGCTATCAGTGCCACCTCTCTGGAACTAAAGATGAAGAAACTTTCAAAGGATATGCTCTAGGTTCTGTAAGAAATCACTTAAACATACAGGCCCTCTGGCCTCTACTGAATTTGCACATTTGCCAAAAGGTTCATATAATCCCTTTGCTGTGTCAAATCACGGACGTAATAAAATACTGACTTTGATGCACTGTGACATAGCTGGCAACAAGCATCACACAAACTGCTGCTTCAGGAAGCAGGGAAGCTTCAGGAGCACAAAGACTCCAGGTTCATCACGCACACTTCTAGTTGGCAACAACTTTGCCTTTTGCTTGGCTTTGCAATTTACCTCAAACTGTCTAGTACATCTTCATAGAAATGACAAATGTTTTCTATTAGAATATTTTATCACAAAATTAACAGACTAAGGATCTCATTCTTCAGCAATTAACACCCATTCATTCCTAATTTCCATGAGAGTTGAATGGTGCAAATTCATAATGTCTTTCCCATTTCAACTGGAGTACATAAAATGAATACTCCAGCTACATTACTAAGCACAAAAGACGTTATTTAATTAGCTCTTATCTAAAGGTGAGAGGAAAGGGGAAGTGTAAATCAAGAAGAGATTGCAAAAGAAAGATGACAGTCTTATTAAAGTCTATTCTGTGAGGGTAAAATCAAAGTATCACTCCACAAGATCTGGTATTTAGTGACTTTTTCATGGATAAATGCAAAGAGAGTAGAAATTTATGCTTTCTGATCATTTAAGCTGACTCAAAATTTTAGAGCCTCTCTCTGATTCAGAAATGTGATGAGCAAGGCAGAGGAGTTTTAAGCCTGAACTGAGCCAGTTACCACAACTGGTCCTTTCCCTTGCTAAGAAGTGTGGCTAAAAGAGCTAGATTAATTTCTTTTGTGTTCCAATTAGGCAGTTGTGGGATACGATTCACAGCTTCCAAGCCCGGAAAGTCACACTGGATCGCAAACGGGACCTACAAACCTTGTCTGAAATCCTGATGAGAAGCACATGTGGTGACCCAGGCCCATCTCTAGGGTGCTTGCTCTTCCCCGTCCTCAGTACTTCCAATGCATCCCTCTTTCCTGCCTCCCTACCTTTCAGATGGTACTCAATACAGGGCAGGCGGCAAGCTGTGAGGACCTGGGAGACTTGCTGGGTAGAATCCAGCCCTGCCGTTCAGTAGTTATGTGATTATAGGGGTGTCGGTTTAACTCTATTGTCTTTTATTTTCTCATCAGTAAAATTAGGATAACAGTGCCTGCATCAGAGAGTTATTTTGCTTATTAAAATGCATATAAAGTACTTTAACAGTGAAAAAAATAGTAGAACATCAATAACCTTTCTTCCTAAAATGTGCTCAACAAATTATACACAGATTAAAATACAGTCTAGATAATATCATCCTGCTTACAAAATACTGAAAATAACCGAGAAAGTTGGAGCAATACTTTCCGAAATGATAACAATGTTAAACTTTGAAGTACTTGCCTTCAGGGGTCAGATTTCAAATGCTTTTATTTCCTTCTGCTTCTCTCAATTTTCTCATTGTTTTTAATGATTATACAGTTTTCTTTATAGAACATTGTTTAGTAAGGGGATTAATACACAGATTACTGGGTTTAGAGGGCCCTCAGCAATCGCCTCACCCAATTTTATGTCTTTATTTTGGAGAAAAGGAGAGAGTTTAAGGAGCTGAGAAATGAGACAAGACAGCATGTTTTGTCCTTCGTTACGATCTCAAAGAACTGTCCCTACATTCCCATGAAGAGGTACAGCACACCACCGTATAGCATAACCATTAGAGAAATAATAGGGTTTGATGAAAATCATAATGACTCTTTCTTCCATCCTGATCCACTATCCCTGACTTCCTCTTAGACACAAAGAACGTGGAAATATGAAATTGGAGAAATGGGATGAAGTCTGTAAGGATGTTTATGTATGTTACATACCCAAGTACATAATTGAGCATGAAAAATCATTGTCTAGCCTTTGTCTTTTTTCTGTGTTTCCCTTGAGACTGGATGGAAATTGGTTTGGCAGTTCAGTGATTTGCTTATTAGAACTAAGATAAATATTGAGCGGTTTGCAGCCTGGGTTTGTTTGATAGGCACATGCTTTGAGCAACTTGCTACCAAATATTTTTGAATATTATCTCTACGTAGAAGAGCTGCTAGGAAAAGGGGATTGTACAGATTCAGAGGATTCTGAAGGAGGACAGAAACA